GAAGAACAAGAACCATGGTTAAGGGATTCTTACTTCTAGGACTAGTTCTTGCCTTGGATTCCTCCTCTCCTTGACTTTCTTCTTCCTTGATGTTGTGATGAGTGTAGGGAGCTCTTCAAGACCCCTCTCCCTTATGTCTTACGTATCACCTCTCAAATGAGAGGATGAGGAGACTCCCCCCCTTCTTATCTTCTATTTTTAGAAATTGGGTCTACTTTGTCGGGCTCGGTTCATGGGCTGCTTCTTTAATTTAATCTAGCCCAAAGCTATCTGTAAATTAATCCTCCCGTTTATTATGGGTTACATTTTATATGGGATACCCCGAATTAAAGTGTAGGGAGCCCTCCACCCGAATACTTGCTATTTTTGGTAATTTGGGTTAGAACGCCGCTTTGGGTACTCAATCTATTTCGGTTCAAACCAAATGACTATTATTCATTTATTTATATTATTTTTGGCTAGTAGACCATAATAGGTCGGTCCTAAAACGTATTGGATAGTCCTTTCCAATATCCTGGGCTCAAACCCCTTTACATTTCTATTTTTTTTGTAAGTGGACTCGAATGGTCGTCTGATTTCTTTACCTTTTATTCGGTCCAAACGATTATATTGTACTTACTTCCTTATCCTTGGGCTTTTTATTTAATTTATCTTGGTCCAAGAATATATATTAGTTAGTCCCTTCCCATGTTTGGGGTCCGACCCCCAATTTAATTAATCGGTATTAATTTAATCAATTAATCATTTCTAGTATGATTAATATACTTGTAACTAGTTTTCATAGTGAATACACATTCATGATTTTAACTTATTATCCTCATCGTAATTAGTATTTGTACTTTCACTTAAATTTTAATATCAATGGATTAATAAATCCAATTTTAAATTGGGAGCGGTGTCACAAGTTCACCCCCCCTTAACAGGAATTTCGTCCCCGAAATTCACGTCGCAGTTTCATTTTAACCGGTGTCACTCTATTCTTAGAGTACACACTTTTCCATGTTCCTATGTTGACTTGATCATTTTATAAAATCATAACCATTATATCATTGTTGTCCTTAGGCACTTTCATTCACATTCTCATACTCTTTTGGTTTACCTCGTTTAGATGTTACCCCATCTAATTACATAATGACAAGTCCTTCCATACTTGGGCATCCATTCTTCCTGGAATTCTCAAGTGGCCCTAACTAGTTTGGTTAAGTTCTTTGGCATGTGAATCTGACAATTCACACCCAAAGTCCTAAATAACATTTTTCTCTAACCTTCGACTTGAAGGTTCCCTAGTATACTAGACAGCATACCCCGATGTAAAACTTACTTACTCACATACCGTCATGTAGTTGGCCCGTGAGCCCGTGTTCATATTTCATTTCATTCATCGTTAGCACGACACAACCCGTAGGTCTTATTATTCATACAAGACTTGTCACCGCCATCCGAGGCCTCATCGGGTCCTCGGGCCGGAGTCCAACATCCCGCCCCTGGACTCATACCCATCATCCTGTAGGAAGGTAAGGCCCATTCGGGGTCCTATCTTATGTGTTACCGCTGTCGGAGCCTCATTAGGTCTCCGATTCGGATTCCACCCTTATGCGCAAGCACATTGCAAGTCCATGCTATCCAATCCCGCTCTCTAGAGTCGGGAAGAGCCATGGTCCTTACTTATTACCATAATTCAACCGGCTATCTTCAAGGACTACCGAAAACACCCGAAGGTCAATCCTATACCTAGGATCAATTTATTATTCACTTTGTCTTAGGTATCCCTTAAGGCCTACCCCTAGTATAACTTAAAGTTCATACATATCCACATTAGCATCTCTTAAGACTACTTAAAGTTTAATGTCTCACAATCCGAATCCTTAGGATTAATCCTACCATTATTCATATTTACCTCCCGGTTTGTATTTTCATACTAGTTGGATAACTCAAGGATAATCGAGTCCTCAATTCGTGTCGTCTATCAGTACCTCATCAAGATACAAACCATAGACGAGCCTTAAGTCTATGACCGATACATCAGTCTAGTCACCCTGGTTCCTCCCTTAAGGATGGCCCGAAGCATGACCCGAATTTCATTTCCTTCTAGTAGAGTGAACTGTCTCATCTAATACCACGTTTCACGTGGAAGCGACCCCAATACTTGCCCGGTAGCCATTCCTTCAAGAGAGACTCCCACGTATCACATATCAATCCCAACTCCCATGGGATTTCGAAAATAAGTAACCATCCTTGGCTCTAAAGTCCGCCTCACATATATACCCGTGGTGCTCACTCATAGGTGGATGGATATAACACTAAACTTCCATTTAGTTTCTCCTATTCTGGTTATCCCTCTGTGAGTTCCTGAGACTCATACAATAATGTGTAACATATAAGGCGAATCGGTGTCCACACACTATAATGTAGTGCGTAGTAACTATTAGTCATATTTGTGTAAATAAATTTTAGTTTAGTGCCGAATAATATTTGTGAAAAAACTTTAAATATTTAAAGGCACGTGAGAGGTTTGAATTTGTGTTTAAATATTATAAATTTGTTCTTAACTAATGCTACATTGCTATAAAAATTGTTTTTATGTTTTCATTAATAAATAAGAAAGTGATTACAATGTATTAAAGTTATTATAATTGATTATAAAAAGTTCTTCATTTCTAAGAAATATTGTATTATTTATTCGTATTCATTTGTGTTCATTGTTTAGAAATGCAATTTTATATACGGAGTAGATTATAAGAAAAAAAACACAAAAAATATTGATTATAAGCAAATAGATAATGTTTTGTATTGATGAAGGATAATTTTGGCTAAATTGGCTCTTATGGTCAATGATAGTCGATTTTGGATAACTCCAATAACGTCAGTTATGATATTTATGTAAAATTTATCAATTTTATATTTTTATGCAAGTAATTTTAAAAAAGACTTTTTCCATATGACCTTCATTTCTTAGATAATTTCTTATTGAAAACATCATAGATCAAGACAATCATTGACTAAGAAAATTCAACATGAAAATATTTTATGAGCAAGAAAGAGAATATATTTTGTAAGTATTGTTTTTAATTCCTTTTGAGTTGGGTTGCAAACGAATCAAATAATTCATGCTCGATTCGCGATTCGAATTCGTATAAGACGATTCGAATTCGGAAAATTTAAATACAAATAAGAATATTAAATTTGATTCGAGTTGTTATCAAATACAAATATGAATATCGGTATATTCGATTCGACTATTAATCAAATATATTCGATTTATAACAGTGGTAATATTAATAATAATAATAATAATAATAATAATAATAATAATAATAATAATAATAATAATAATAATAATAATAATAATAATAATAATAATAATAATAATAATAATAATAATAATAATAATAATAATAATAATAATAATAATAATAATAATAATAATAATAATAATAATAATAATAATAATAATAATAATAATAATAATAATAATAATAATAATAATAATAATAATAATAATAATAATAATAATAATAATAATAATAATAATAATAATAATAATAATAATAATAATAATAATAATAATAATAATAATAATAATAATAATAATAATAATAATAATAATAATAATAATAATAATAATAATAATAATAATAATAATAATAATAATAATAATAATAATAATAATAATAATAATAATAATAATAATAATAATAATAATAATAATAATAATAATAATAATAATAATAATAATAATAATAATAATAATAATAATAATAATAATAATAATAATAATAATAATAATAATAATAATAATAATAATAATAATAATAATAATAATAATAATAATAATAATAATAATAATAATAATAGTAATAACACTATAAGCCTATAATAAAATTTAAAAGATGGCAATACCCCCAATGTGTGGCCATATATACATTTTTATACATACAGATTCTAAGCCCATTTGTAGTAAATCGGAATAAAAATATGCATGCCAATTAAAATTTTGGTTCAAATGTCTTTTAAATACAATACACATAATTATGTATTCAATTGGAAGAATAAAATTAGAGTCGTTTGACTTTGATATATATACAATTATCAACTTTTTTCATACATTATAAGTATAATTTCTAATATTTGTGTGTTAGTATTTATTTCAAAAGGTTTGAAATAGATTTATATTTATCAATCATAAAATTGATTCACTTTAGTATATTGTGCACAATCTAAAAATGCATTGATCAATTAAATTTAAATTCTACAAAACACATAGTAAGTCATAGCATGCATTTGCAACATAAAAAATATAAGAAAAGTTATTTTAAAGTGATATTTGACTAATATTTAACCTATGCTCAAATCGATTCGATATTCGTATATGATTCGTTAACTACTCGTATTGTTAAACAAATACAAATACAAATCAAAATTAATATTCGTTTTATATTTGAATTCGAATTCATATTCGGAAAAAAATAAACAAATACAAATACAAAATCTCACTATTCGACTCGATTCGATTCGTTTACAACCCTATTTTTGAGTAGTTATTATGGTGCTCTTTGCATTTGTCTAGGGCCACACATTCACTCAAGACGGCCCTGCCTTTGGGGTTTGCTATTTGTGAAGCAGAGAGTGGAGAGAGTTGGCCGTGGTTTTTGGCTTGCATACGTCATTTTATCACACACAAATAATTGTGTTTTATTTCAGATCGACGTGCTGGAATTTTGAAGGCACTTAATGAGGTAGGTAGTGGATGAGAGGAGCCACGTGAACGATATAGGCTTTGGATACGACATGTTTTGTGTCTCAAATGTAGTTCATTGATTTGTTTTGTGTTTCGAATATGTTTTGTTTTTAGTGCTTTATATTGACTATAAATAGCAGATGTTTAATGTTTCTTAGTTGACTGTATTGTATTGAGCATGTTTATGTGTGTGTTCTTGTTGAATAAGCTGGTGTGGTAATTGTTGTACTGTATTGAACAGGTTTATTTTTAACTACAGTTGTGTGCACTTATGTTCTCAAAACTATTATTTTTTTTTTACAGTAAACAACCTTCTTCATTAATTCAAATCATCGTTTGCCAACTGGCTAAAAATACAATCCGGAATAACATCGAAAACAGCCTTGTTATCCGTCATTGAAAGTGCAGCCCTAGCTAATGTGTGAGCTACAACGTTCGTGGACCGCTTACAGTGAGTGACAGAAAACCCAGCTTCTAACTGAAGAATATGTCTTATATCTTCCATAATAATATCCAAGTAGGATCCCCCCTTCTTCTTCAAGCCTTGAAACAACAAACAATGCATCACTTTCAAAGACCACCCTCTTCCACCCTTGATTTATGGCCCAAAGCATCACTTCTCTCAGTCCCACCGCTTCGGTTACTTGGGGTGACCAACCAGCTTTGCAATTTTCCCATCCTCCTCTCATAAAATTGCATGTATCATCACGAGCTACCCATCCCCAGCTTCTCTTCCCTCCTTGATTGCAGACTGCTCCATCCGTATTGATTTTTATAAATCCCGCTGGATGTCGAGACCATCTTACCTTGGCTGCTGCAACTGGGAGCTTTTGTTGTGTGGCTTCACGCGCCTCTCTCCACCCCCGAAGGACTGCTGCAGCTGAGTTACAGACCTGCCGGTCATCAAAATGTATCCCCTTCCACGTCCAGTCGTTCCTGCTCTTCCATATGCTCCAAAGTAAGGTAATAAAAGTACATAAGTTTTCATCTGTTACCTTACTGAAGAGCTGCTACACCCAATCTTGAAATGAGTCACTTTGTTGCTGAAAAATTTGCCTATAATTGCTCCAGATTCCTTGAGTAAACCTGCAATTTTTAAACAAGTGAAAAATAGTTTCTTCTGCCTCTGCGCACAGCTTACATTCAGCTGCAATGTCCACCCTTTTTTTACGCAAGTTTTCAGCCACCGGTAAAACATTTGTCATTACTTGCCAAAAAAAGTGTTTGATTTTTGGTTGGATGGACAACCCCCACATACGAGTCCATCCTAGCTAACCCTCTTCCAGAACTTCCCCTTTAATCCTCCTATACCCGCTCTTTACCGTATAAACTCCCCTTACATCATCACTCCACCAGAATCCATCGCTAACGTCCCTCTTGCTCAAAGGGATACTCAAGATGGCCTCACTCTCCTCATGTGAAAAGACGTTATGCACCCTTTGCACATTCCAGCCGGAACAATCTTCTTTAATTAGTGAAGCGACATTCATGTAAAAAACTCCCTCCGGCTTAGGAGATAACACCATGCCCCCCTCTTTCCTTGGTAACCAACTATCTCTCCAAACATAGATGTCTCTCCCGTTACCCACTCTTCTTCTAGTACCATCCCTAATAATGCCCTGGGCTTCAAACACACTTCTCCAGATATAAGAGGGATTGCTCCCTAGCTTAGCATCTAAGAACGAAGATTTTGGGAAGTACCTTGCCTTAAACACTTTGCTAACCAATGAATTAGTATCAGTAGTCAATCGCCACGCCTGCTTTCCCAACATAGCAATGTTGAACTCTCGAAGGGACCTGTATCCCAGCCCCCCTTTCTGTTTCGGTTTACAAAGGTCCTGCCAACTTTTCCATCTAATTCCCCATCCCGTCATCTCCTTTCTCCGCCACCAATATCCGTTCATTATTCTTTCTATCTCAGTACACAACTTTGCTGGCAAAAGAAAGACATTCATCGCGTACGATGGCGTAACTTGAATAACAGTCTTCAGTAACACCTCTCTCCCTGCTTTTGATAAGAACATGTTATTCCAGCTTTGTATTCTTTTGACAATTCTCTCACGCAAGAATCCCAAGATTTCCATCTTGCGCCTCCCGATTAATGACGGAAGTCCTAAGTACCTGGACCCGACTTGCTCCTGGTAAACTCCCAGCATGTTGCAAATATTGTCCCTTGTAGGACCAGCCACATTTGAACTAAAAGAAAGTGCTGATTTAGAAAAATTAACCATTTGCCCCGAAGTTGAAGTATAGGTGCTAAGAATACCTTTAATCACATTACACTCATCCTCTTGAGCTCTGAAAAATAGAAAATTGTCATCTGCAAAAAATAGGTGTGACACCCTAGGTGCCCCCTTTGCCACCGAAACTCCATGGATCCTCCCCTGTTTTTCATTTTTTCCTGATCAACAGACTAAGGCCTTCCGCAACAAGTATGGAAAGATATGGAGATAGGGGGTCTCCTTGGCGTAATCCGCGCCTTGGAAGAATCGGACCGAGAAACGTGTTATCAAACGGGATCAGATACTCAACAGAACTCACACATTCCTTGATCAGGTGGATCCATTCTGGTGCAAAATTCATAGCTCTCATAACCTCAAATAAAAAATTCCACCTTACTCTATCATAGGCTTTGCTCATGTCTAGTTTAAGAGCTACAAACCCCTCTTTCCCCCGAGTTTTTCTTTTAAGGTAATGATGGGTTTTGAAAGCAATCATAACCAAATAATATGCACTATGTGCTTTAATTTTTTTTTCATGAAAGTAAATTGTGTGATTTGGTTTACTTACCTTCAACAATATCAATAACAACAATACTACCAAAAGTGCAAACAAAATACTCCATAAGTCCCAAATTGATTTGCAAAGTCAACATTTTTTGGTCAACTACTTTTAAAAGTTAATATAATGGCTAAACCTACCTTGCCTACATTCTTTTTCAAGTCGATTGCTTCTCCAGTCCGTTGCCTATCCAACCAATCCTTTTGGGGACCTATCCTACTGCCACACCAAAAAGACACCTAAGATTGGATATAAATAATAAACCAACCAAAGGAGGAAACAATCGTCTTCAACCAACATTATCATTATTAATACATGAATGAATGCACATTTGAGAGAAGAAGACGTGGAAGGCTTATTGGTTCACAAGCTACAAATCTTTAGCTTCCCATCCAGAAAGAGGGAGAGTGAGCAGGAACTACTACTAGCTGCTGCTGCTGCATGTATGATGTATATACCATATGGGAAGTAAGTAATAACTAAAATAATCTGGTCACACAATTCTGCCAAACCTCAACACATTGCTGATCCTTCCGAGTAACAAACATCTTGTTCCCTCCAAAGCTCATATGGGTAATAATACTATCACTACCACTCATCGTGTTCTTGCGGAAAACCCCACGGCCATTGCCCGACCCCACCAAAACCTCCGACCACAACTCTATCTGCCCCCCCTTACTGCGAAACACTTGGTTCCCATGACATTCAATCCTACACCCGACCCCTTCCTTCTTCTTCTTCTTCTTATTGTTATTGTTGTTTGCTGTCCTCCACCCGTCAGCACCACCAAGGCAAACCCAAACATTGTCGTCGCTGCTGAGGATGTTCCTGAAATCAGCAAAGAAAACCTCTCCCGAGTGGACTCCGACTTTGAACAGCGTGCCGGCCGGGGAGACAGTAATGTCAGAGAAGCAATCGGCTCTCTCCTTCACCTCCCACACGGGAGCGGTGTTCCCGGACCTCAGGTCCCAAAACTTGATATTGCCGGACACGCCGGAGGGCCCGCTGTGGGACCCGGCAGCCATGAGCAGGTTGTGAGTGGGGATCCACCTGAGCTTGGTGGGGGGAATAGCAGAATCGAGGTCGGCCCCGAAGATCTCGCAGTGGCCGATCTCAGCCACAGGCGTGAAGGTGTTGAGGTCGTAGACCATAACGCAGCTGGAGTTCCTCCTCCCGGACTCGAAGGTAGTGAAGATGTAGTCATGGGATGAGGCGATTGCAAGAACGGTGGAGTCGGAGCGAGTGACGTTTTCCCACTGGAGGGTGTGTGTAAGGGAACCCTGATCGACGTCAAGAATCTGGAGGCCTGAAAGATCGGTGGCCCCAGCTGCGACGACACTGGGGGAGAGAGCCAGGAGAGAATCGATGGCCGTGAATTGGGTCAGCATGGTAGACTTGCTGCGCAGAGCCCAATCGAAGGAGGTGACCTTGCTGCCGTGCGCAACGTGAAGGGATCCGGAGGGGGTTGTGGAGATGGAGGCGGGCGAGTCTCTGCCGCAGAATGGCAGAAGCATGGATTTTTGGAGGTTGAAGGGGTCGAGCAGAGAAGGGGAATTGGTGAGGAGGTGCTCTATGCCGTAGAATCGGGACTCAAAGATCAGATCTTGGACATCCAAGGCCTTTGCCCTTGAAGGGAGGCTCCCAGTCCTGAGGAGGGACAGGAGAACCGAGAAGAGCTCCGGATCTCTGTCAATGAACAAGGGAACTGCGGACGAAGCAGCATTGGCCAGGAGGAGGGATTTGGAACCTGCTTGCGCAAGGGTGTGTTTCGTTGTCTGGAAAAGCTGACCCCCTACGTCTATGCTCACTATGTTGGAGATGGCTGTATCTCCGGCGGGCATATTGAAGAAGAAGAAGAAGATGTAGGCCCTTTTTATTATTTATAGCTATTGTTGAGAGGTCAAGAGAAGGAAGTTGCGGGCAGGCAGGCAGGGTTGGGTCAAACAAAATGTCCTCATGCGCCCGCCCGCCCGCCCGCCAAAAGTGTCAAATTTACTCTACATTCATTCAACTTTTATTTTATTCATTACCTCTCATCAATTTCATACTCTCTCCGTCCCGCTATGATTGTCCTATTTTTCCTTTTCGATCCACCCTATTAAGATTGTCTCATACCTTATTTGGTAAAGTTTATGTGGTTCTAAATCATTCCTACTTTATTCTTACTTTATCAATTCAATATCAACCACATAAACCCACTTTTATTAATAACCGTGTCAGTTTCTCTTGTCTCAAACTTAGGGGGACGGAGGTAGTACTAGATTAGATGAGATGGGCAGTGAACCCTAGAGCCCTAAAGGCCTGCGGCCAGCCGGTGCCTTTCCTTCTGAGTTATCAACCATAGGTTTTGGGTCATGTACATACCAAATTTCAGCTAAAATTTCAATCGGGAAGATATTCAAATGAATTCTTTAAGACAACTGCCGCAGTTAAAAGCGCATTTATCTTCAAGAATTCATTCGAATGCCTTCCCGATTGAAGTTTTAGATGAAATTTGGTATGAGTAAAATAGACTTAATGAATAATATGTTCAAAACATTTCATCAAAAAATTCCACCAAGAACCGTCCTAAATGACGAAGGCCGGACAGTAAGGACTTATTTGACCCTTTTTATGCAACTTCGAGTATTAATCTGACCCTTTACTCTTTCAAGAATTCATTTGAATGTCTTTCCGATTGAATTATTAGTTGAAATTTGGTATGAGTAAACTAGACTTAATGAATAAGATGCTCAAAAAATGTCATCAAAAAATTCCACCAGGAACTACCCCAAATGACGACGGCCGGACAGAGCCTCCTATATAAGGGCTTATTTGACCTTTTTATGTAAGTTCGAGGGCCTATTTGACCCTTTTCCCCTAAATAGTAGTATGTATATTTGTATTCCCTAAACTGGACAATTGTTCTAAATTTACCATCTTCTTTAAAATAATTATTTACAAATTGTTTTCAGCTCAAGTTTTCTTCTCCTTCTTCATCATCATTTTTACCCTAGAGAGGTCAGGAGGAGGATGGTCAGTAGAGTCCGGGGTAAACAGAGTTGAAACTCCCTCCATAGGGTTTTGAAGCAAGATCTCCACTAAAGGAAAGTGAGTTGGAGACCTACTGAGCTGGACTACTTTCTCACTTAAGTTTTCTTCTCTTGCTCATCTTCTACAGTTGCTGCAACGGAGAGCTTTGAGGTGAGGCAATGGGGACCAGCACCAAGTGGCAAGAGAGTGTCCTCGAGTAGCGGTGAGAAGCGACGAAGCATCGACAAGCAACGACAGAACATTAGTGAGCATCGACGAGAAGTGGTAGAGCATTGGTGAGTAGTGAATCTAAATCTTGTGGCCAAAGTGATGTAGCTCATTGCCCCCTAGATTCTGTCATCTTCTTAAGCAGTGTTTGCGGTTGCTTAAAAAAAGAGTTTTTCAGCTTTTGGCTTAAAAAAAAAGCTAAAAAGAGTGTTTTCAAATGACAGCTTCTGCTTAAATTAATTAATCACTTAAAAGCTAAAAGCTGAAAGCAGGTGGAAGGGTGCTTTAAACTGCTTTTCACTTTTTCTATTACACAAAAAGTACTTATTTTACCAAACACTACCAACTTTTACTTTTTCAGAATCACTTTTTTCTCAAACACTACCAAGTTTTACTATTAATCACTTTTCCCAAAATCATTTTAAAAAATCACTTTTTTAAAGTTGAAGCAATTGCAAACACTCCCTTAGTCCTTCATTCCTCTTGCTCTTCTATTTCTCTCTTCCCCGTTCTGTTTCGTCGCAAATCTGGTTCTCGGTTTCCTTTTTTATTTAAGAAAAATGTCAAATTTAACTTTGAAAATGTCATCAAGATGGCATGATGACTCTTCAAAAATGCCATTGAAATGACATTATTGATTAAAGACATTCTTGAACAATCACAAACCTCTATAAGGTTCATAATATGGCTATTCACCACCTTGATTATTAACTACATAAAAGTAACATTTAATGATATTAAAAATATATTACTTCTCGTGGTTGTAACTAAGATGCCTCAAGTATAATAAAAATATATCTATTGATGACTACATTGATGACATATAACCCTTTGAAGTGTCATCAAAATGAATTTGTCCAATGAACCTGTTCTGTAACAAGAATATATTATATGTGATTAACATGTTATCTCACATATAACTAGTAGATATCGCCATCAGCTAAACCACATATTTGTCAATTAATGCATAAGACTTTCCTAACACACAATAACCAATTTCTAGGAGAGATTTGAACAACAAACCGTAAACCATTTAATTAGACTTAAATTGATCATACCATGTGTTGGGGTAAATGTCCCCGCGAGATTCTCGGCCCAATACCCCATCCATAAGGAGAAAGGTTCGAGGGCCCAAAGGCCCAAGTGACGCTCAACCCAGCCCGGGCAGCATGTGGTGGGACACCCGACACACGTCCTTTCAATGTACCTCGTTGGCTCAATATGACAGGATAGCCTCGGAGGGAGCGCTCGGCACACGCCACACGGCATCATGGTCTTGTTCTGATTGGGGCTAGCAAGCATGAAGATCTCAGTTGGGGCGGTCAACAAATATATTGGCGAAAACGCATTAGATGCACCAGATACACAAGATTTGGTGGTTGGGAGATTAGCCATTCGTAATCTCCACATCACCATTACCACCTACCCCATGGTAGTATAAACAATAACATTGATTTCATTGTTAGGGGTTGACAACTTGTACTCACTAATTTTAGCTTATAATTTCAGTAGGGTGTGTTGTAATTGTTCTTTTTTTAGAGTAAAGGTTATAATGGTTCTTGATTGTCTAATAAGAACTCGACTCACTTACTATCCATCTCTTTGTTTGCTAAATAATCGGTGTGATTAATAATTGAAAGGTTGTTAATAGAATTACCCCTAGTGGCTAGAGCAAACGACCATTGAATCAACTATTCACTGAGCCATAACACCCCAACTGTTCAAAGGACCATTTATTTTAAATTTTGTTACATATTTTCACCCATTTGAAATTTTGAATAATACTTAGTATGTTTTTGCTTGGACTGTTTTCAACCTTAGATCAGACTTGGACAATTATAAATTATACAAAGACCAGACATTTACCAGATCAAAACAGTAAAAACATCCTTACTATTGTGAGTAGGGATGGACTGGGCCGGGTCGGCCTGACCCGGGCCCGATCCCGGTACTGTTTAAACCCGGTCCGGCCTGGTCCTGTTTAGGCCCGAATCCTGGCCTGGTCCTGTTTAAGCCCAATGTCCGGCCTGGTCCCGGCCCGAGTGGCTATAAGGTCGGGCTTCAAACCTGTTTTTTTAGGCCTGACACGGCCGGGCCTGGAGCAGTCCCAAGCCTGATTGCACTATTTTTTTAATTTATTGCCCAGGCTCATCTTGGCCCATTCCCACCCCCTACTGTTTAGGCCCGGCCTAACCCAGTCCCAGTACAAACCTGGGTCGGTACCAAACCCGAAATTTTTAGTCTCAAGCCTGCCCGATCCCGATCCATCCCTAATTGTGAGTAGGGGTGGACTCGGGTCGGGCCGCCCGGGTTGGAACCGGACCGGACCGGTACTGTTTGGGCCCGGCCCGGTACCCGGTTTGGGATCGGTTCGGGCCAACCGGGACCGCTGTATAATCCCGGGCCAACCCTAAAATGCAAACCGGCCCGGCCGGTTCGAGTCTGGTTCTGACCTATTTTTTTTTTTTTTGGTTTTTTCAGTTTTTTTTTGTTTCTACCGGGTTGGGCTGGGTGTTTTGAGGGGGTTTGGGGGTGGGGGGTGAAGAGGGAGGGGGGGTGGTTATTTAGAAAATCAAAAGGAAAAAAAATAACATTGAACCGGAACCGACCCGAACCGGTCAGGAACCGCCAGCTACCCGGGCCGGTTCCGGTTCCACCATTCCCAAATAAAAGCCCGGACCGGGTCCATCCCTAATTGTGAGTCCCCCACTGCGCAGCAACACAAAAGTGGAATACTAGGAAGGTTATTTTGGTTTTTGCGCTTTTGTTTTTGTAACTATTCGATCAGTTTTCTGGAGTGAAAATTACAATAGAGCCCGTTTGGTCTTAAATCTTAGAGCCCGTTTGGTAGCACGAAAAATGGCTGATTTGACTGATTCTGCTGAAATTTATGAAGTTGTGGCTGAAGTGGATGCATTGGCTAATTCTGCTGATTTAAGAAAAAATTATTTTTAAAATATATTTTGTTAATAAAATAAAGAAAAAATTATATGTAAAAATAGCTAAATGGTCATCTACAATAACTTCAGCCAATACAGCCAGAAAAGTAATTCCAACCTTACATTTTTTTGTTTATTACACAATTCAGCGCGCGAAAGCAAAAGTAACATGTTTGGTGAAAAAATTGGCTGATAAACCCGATAATCCAAAAAACAGTGTTGCCAAACGGCCTCTTAATATTGTTTGCAAGATCCTTCCAAAAAAAATTGCTTGCAAGATAAAGCACCAAACACAAATGAAGGGAATAAATCAATAGAACACCAATCCATCTATAGGCCACACGCATACATAAATATAAACTCACGATTAAATACACGAAACAGTAGGGTGGCCTATGTAGTTATTTACATTCATATCCATGTACTGGAAATTTCTTGTTTTCAGTTTTCTATTTTTTTTTACATATTTTTTTCACTCGTTTAAAAAACTGGAAAAAAAAACAATAAACCAAATGGCCATGCCGAAGACTGCCAGTTGTCACAAAAAATTCAATTCAGGCTTATAGACAGCCACCAAAATTCCTGCCCTTCTAATCAAATTATCAGTACCAGAATGCCAATGGATGACGTTTGAAATTGATCAGACATAATTTAGGCACTGAAAACCATTTCCTGCAGATATAAACAAATAGAATATGT